TGCCCTGCTTTGCAGCAATGATGCCTCCAGTATATCTGAATAGAAAGAATTATTTTTGAGGTGGTGGGCAGTGTTTCATTCTATTGTACATATGGTTGCTATGAATTGGAACTGACTCAATGGCATCTAACAACAACAATATAATTGAAAAGGGGCGAGATCTGTAGATTACATAAAATTCGAAAAACACTGACTTTCTCAAGAGTTGATAGTACTTCCACAATACCCAGAACTCCCTTGGTATGATCACTGCTGTACTATTTGTGGGTGAGGCAGAACAATTAAAGGGGAAATTAACCTGAAGTGGTAGAAGTAGTATAAATAAGAACTACTGGCTGGATTATTGAGGGCTTGCTGGAAAGAGGAAAGTATTGAACAAGAGTGAATGGATGTCTGGGGAAGTGGCCCAAGTAGCCAAAATTTAACCAATATATTAGTAGCATGTAATAGCCTTTTTATGGTAGAAGCCCTCTTTCTGGGTTTTGCTTTGTGGTTCTGTGGTTCCTGCCTATAAATTACTACTATGCTGACAAGTAGGTTCTTACTCTTAGGACTTACACCAGTGTGGCCCCAAGCAAACCCTGAGTTTTCAGTAGAGAAATTTCCTTAGTAGTTTTCTCAGACCATTTCATTCACTGAAACAGGGCCCAAACCCAAACAGAAATTTGTGGGGACTTTCCTTAGCAATGAGCCTATACAGAGACTTTCTTTCTCTTAGGACATTATTTGTGTCACAGACTGGATTAGCATGAAGACTAAGGAAGAACTTGAGAAATGACCAAGGGTATGAAACCCAATACACTGTTGGTGGATGTCAAATATAGTAAAATTCGAGGTCTAAAGTTTGGGGCTTATGACTTTCTGTATTATTGATGTGGCCATGTGCTTACCTATAAAACTTCACTTGTCTCCTTTTTACCCTTTTGTCCCATATTCCTCCTTCTTCCTGCTTAGGATAGAGATGTAATGACTAAAGCTTCATTGGCCACCTCGAAACATAAGGCAACCATGAGAATGGAAGCCACACATTAAGAATAGTGGCACAAAGTATCAGTAGGAACTTGAATCCCCACAGATTTCAATGATCATGGACCCAAATTAAACATTTTTAGATAGATGAGAAAAGCAAATGCTTGTGTGTTCAAGCCATAATTGTTTTTTAGGATTCTGTTATTAGCAGCTGAATGCAATATCTAACAAATACAAGCTTCACACGGCAATAAGATATCATACATGTGAAGTTCTGTTAAGCACAATGTGCAGAATACTGAAGGCCTTATTAGTAAGATTGATCCACTAGCTTTTTCTGAACTTTCAAGCTGTAAGACAATGTTGTTTCTTATTCCTTAGTGCATAAACCAGTGTGTGTGTTGGAATGTGTGAAATAGAAGAATTGCATTGCTGAAATGTTGTCTATGTTCTGCCAAAAGCAGTAATTTCAGCCCAAAGTCAGGACTCTTCTTTATTTAAAAAAGAAATTCTAGTTCAGTCTAGCTCTTAGACTGGATATTGAGGAAATACAAAGGAATATTGAGGTCTGGGCAGCTCTGGTGGCGTAGTGCCTAAGGCATTTGACTGCTAACCAGAGGCTGGCAGTTCAAACCCACTGACCACTCCTTGGAAGGAAGGTTGGGCAATCTTACTTCTGTAGTGATACCACCTTGGAGGGGTCGCTATGAGTCAGATCTGATCAGGAAATTCCAAACGCAACAGTATGTTGCATTTGTTTGCGTTGCATTATTGAGGTTTGAGCATCATTTGTTAGTAATCATAAGTTTTAAGCAATTGTTCATTAATTACCACATCAATTCTTACTCTCACAAAAGATTTACTTTTTCTTTTTTTAAGAGTTACTCACTTTGAGTGTCTGCTATGTGTCAGGCACTGTGCTAGGGGTCTACATGCATTATTTCATTAAATATTCTCAATAACCTGGGAAGGTTAATATTATAAATGCCTAATATGGTTCCTTCCCTTTCCAGCAAAAATTAATGTTTAACATTTGAGTTAATGCCCCAGGCCAATCTTTCTTGAATTTGTTTTATCTAGATTACTGAAGACTTTTTCTTAGTAGACATTCACAACTGGCCCAGTTGGAAAGATACAGAACAATTTCCTTTGGGGATCAGGGATCAGTAAAATCAGGTGATCCCTTTTTCTCACACCTCAAATTTACAGACTTTTAAACATCTGCCTTAATCAAGCCACTTGTTTCAGCTGCTCAGTCTGAATCCCTCCTGGCTGTTGTTGTTGTTAGATGCTGTCAAGTCAGCTCCAACTCATAATGACCCTGTGTACAAAAGAACAAGACACTGCCTGGTCCTGCGCCATCCTCACAATCCTTGTTGTGGCTGAACCCATAGTTGTAGGTGTGTGCTTTACCACAGGCACTGACAAGCAGTGGATTTAGTCCACAGATGAGGAGATAAATGGAAGAGAGAGAAGTGGAAGAGTGGGTATTCCCCCTAGGGAAAATCAGGTTGTGAGCAATCTTTGAAAAATTAGCTGAGTACATAATTATAGTAATGGTAGCATAAACACACACACACACTCAATATTTCTCAGTTTTCTTTTCTGAAAACCCACAATCACTTTTCTCAACACCCATCTGCTTGCACATCAACATTGTGATTCCAGTCACCTTATCTTGAAGAAGGATTTTGAAGAATCATATTCAGCCCTGCAAATAGTAGGTGCTCATAAATGGTGCAATTTCAGAATGGAAGCTCTCAGAGAAAAAAGTAATTTAAACATTGGACTGGAAGTGACAATTCATGGAACTACATGATACTTTGAGCAATGCTACTCTCTGTGGCCCAGAAGAGCCAGAGCAGCCCACATTGGTTTGGCCTCCTTTTTTTTCTTTTTTCCCCCAAAATATATTTTCCTTCTCATGAAATGTATCTGTGCTTTGGTTATGTTACTTTCTCAGCTCCAAATGGTGGTGGTGGTGGTGGTGGTGGGGTGATAATATTAGTCTGGTGGAAGATGATGAAAAATTTTTATTTATAGATTTGTTTTTATGCCACACAAATGGTTTTAAAAATCAGTGATTTTAAATAAAATAAAGTTCTTGGACCCCAACTTGGTTGTTCTACTGCTTCCAACTAGAATCTATCATGGATTTGTTTAGAATAATCAAACAAGCATAAGTGCTTGTTTAGAATCTGTTTTTGCTTCTCTCTTTTAAAGTCCAAGAATATAGGCAGTGCCAGAGGACAGAACTGAGAGTGTTGTGAGGAAAAAAGAGTAAGCTGGGGAGAGAAGTAGACTCAGAGCTGGTCTCTGAAAGAGCTAAGCTAAGAGCTGCACTCATTCCTCAACATAGGTCAACTAAAGATGGAAACAATGTGGAATTACCTAGAAAGCAATGCAAGCATGGACTTCCTTGTGCTTATTTACTAATCCAGTGAAAAATTGCACATTTTTTCATCACATCAAAGAGTCTGCTTCTAAATATGGCCTTCATGTGTGCAGTGAATTGCTTGATGTGGCCCTTCTAGCCATTGTCCTCCATTCTGTGGTGTTTCGTAAATCCCATTATCCATGCCTGTTTGGGGTGGTGTGGTAGTTAAGGTCAGGTATCAACTTGGCTGGGCAGTTGGTAGTAGTCATTCCCTACAATGACTGGCAAGCGACTCTGTGATGG